GAAGGGTTAAAGATTGAATATATTAATGAGGATATTGAAGGGTTCAAGGGTTGAGCATGGACTGTAACTTCGATGTAAAAACGATGTTTGCCTTATGTGTGGATAATTGCTTCCATGTGTTAGTTGAGGATAAAGATCAGAGAGTTGATGATGACTCTGATTCTGATTTCCAAGCCAACATTGATGAAGATGATAACAGAAGTGAAGTGCCAAGTGATGAAGCTCATGATGATGATGATGAACTGAGTGGATATGAGTCAGATAATCATTGCGAGCATACAAATTGGTCTGATGAGGAGCTGGATAATGATCCATTACAAGGAGGCATGGATTTTGTGGATACAATATTCACTCCTGAACCTGGGGAAAAGATCACGTTAAAGAAAGGTCAAGTGTTTACTGATGTGTATCAATTTAGACAAGTGTTGAAAGATTACATCATTCAAGAAGGTTTTCACTGTGTGAGAGATAAGAATGAAAAACAGAGGGTTAGAGTACATTGTGGGGGTGAAAACTGTGTTTGGAGACTTCATGCCTCCACTTTACCTGATAATGTAACATATATGATTAAGGTTTGTCCATGTGAGCACACATGTACCAGAAGGGTTGTTGATAATGAGGTCAGTGCCAAGTGGTTAGCCTCAAAGCTGATGGATCTCTTAAGATCAGACCCTGATGCAATAAACTAATTTAGATTGAAGAATTTAGACCTCTGCCTTTCTTGAGTTTGTTGGATGGTCTTAGGTGTAAACTAATGAAAAGGCTCACAAATAGGGCTGCAAAAGGGCAGAAGTCCACACATGAATTAATGCCAACTGTAGTTGAGAGGTTAAATATTGCAGTTGAAGAGTCTATGAAGTGTGAGATTGTAGTTGCTGGAAATGATCAGTTTCAAATTAAAGACAAAAGAAATCATTTTGTTGTGAATTTATCAAACAAGAGATGTGACTGTGAAGAGTGGGATTTGTCTGGACTGCCTTATAAACATGCCATAGTTGCAATCAAACACAATAGGCAGAGGCTTGAGGATTATACAGATAAGTGTTTTTCCAGGGAAACTTACATGACAGTTTATAGTCATTTTATTAATCCTGTTAACCACCCTGATTTCTGGCCAGAACACCTGGATGCCACTCCCAAGGATCTGCAATCTCCTACTTATAGGAGGTTGCCTGGGAGACCTAAAAAAAATAGAAGAGAAGAGGCAGGAGAAGGCCAATCACAGAAAAGATCAACTGTGGTTAGATGCAAGAGATGCAAAGATTGGGGGCATAACATTAGAACTTGCAAAGGACCAAGTCGGTCTAGGAGAGGTGCCACAGCCACAACTAATGGGGTATGTTGTACAGTTTATTATTTTTACTTTATGTGTTTTTACAATTTGTTTCTATGTTTCTAAGCAAATACATATATATTCTAGGAAAATACACAATTTCAAGCCTCTAGCAATCCAGAAAGACAAGGTGAAGCATCAGTGTTGACTAGAAGAAAAAGAGCAAATGCTAGTTCCAAGTCCCAGGTATTATCTTATTATGTATTTTGGTTTTCTTATTATGTATTTTGTGTGTTCTATATTCTGTTTAATTTTTTAATATTTACCCTTTTTTACTTTATTTCAGAGTTCTGCTCAAGCCTCTGCTCATGCATTTGATGATGATGCCCAAATGACTGCTCAAGCCCTTGCTCATGCATTTGATGATGATGTCTAAGTGAGTGCTCAAGCCTATGCTCATGCATTTGATGCAGCTAAGGTGGTCTCAAAAGGCAATGTTGCAGCACCATCTTCAAGTGCAAAAGCACCATCTTCAAGTGCAGCAGCTAAGGTGGTCTCAAAAGGCAATGTTGCAGCACCATCTTCAAGTTCAAAAGCACCATCTTCAAGTGCAGCAGCTAAGGTGGTCTCAAAAGGCAATGTTGCAGCACCATCTTCAAGTGCAGCAGCACCATCTTCAAGTGCAGCAGCTGATAATATTGACAAAATTCTGGCAGCAAAATGGTATCCCACTGAATTTGACAAATTTATGGCTTTCATCAAGAGGTAGAACATCATAGACTGTTATTTTGGAAGATTTATAGGTTGTTTTTTTTTATGTTTTATAGCCTGTTTTTGGGATGTTTCATAGAACATCATGGACTGTTTTTTGTGTTTTTTTGTAGCCTATTTTTGGTGGTCTTTTTTACAGGCTATTTTTTGGGCTGATTTGATATGTAATTATTCACTAAACATATGGTGCTTATGGGCTGATTTGAAATACTAGTTTTTGTTTGATATATCATAAAGTAAGGTACAATATTTTATTGCAGAAATAATCGTACAATTATTTTACATATCATGTAT